AAAAATATCCTGTTTGTACTTTTTTGAGATATAATGTTGTATTTTAATTTAGAAAGAATTGAAACCTCTATAATATCAAACTTCTCTATCCATTCAGGCCTTCTGAAGTGTAGCAGAAACCTGTTAGGTTTAATCCTAAATGTTTTATGGGTTTTGTGGCTCTTATAAATAAGATGACTTCTTCTATTACATTTTCTAACCAAGTATCAGTCATATATAGGAAAGCTTGCTTGCTTGCTTGCTTGCTTGCTTGCTTTCCATCTCAACACAACCACTTTGTTGAATTCACTCTTTATATTTTTTTCAGACAATGTTGTCATCTACAAATAATTTAGTTGTCTGTAGGGTCAGAAAAATTCCATTGTGCCATAGTCACTTCAACTGTACCCTTAAACATCCACGGACATGATGCCTTTATTATTCTTTAAGTTTTTCTTCTCAAACACTAACATACCCATCATCCAGATATAATAGATGCTAACTTTTTGCCATTTTACTGTCATACCATTCCTTTTTAAACAAAAAAGCCCTAATGTAATATTGTGGATACATCTACACCATCTCCACCATCATCCCATCTTCCTCTTCCTCCTCCTCCTCCCCAGAGTAACTCCTATGCTGAGACTGGTGTCTGGCATCCTACACTCAGTAAAGCATATGCATATATGTGGTTGTGGTATTTTAAAAATGTGTGCCTGTTGTAGCAGTTGTGAAATGTCCTGATTTATAAGTAGTAAATAGAGGCCCATTATGAAAAATCCTAGCCTTCCTACAAATCGATGGGACAGAAAGTTAAAAGTGATTCAGAATCATGTTTTTAAGAAAGCCACTATTCACGATAAGGTATGTCATCTTTTAACCCACACTGTTAGGTTAAATATGTTAGGGCCAAACACAATTTGAACTGCTTAACAAAAGAACGCCTTCCTGAGTGGAGAATAATTGAGGTATGTATTTACCACCAGATCCTGTTCTCTATTGATAGCTATCTGGTGAGAGGAAGGGTAGGGAAGGGCAGGACAGAGAAGGGAAGAGAAGAAAGAAAAAGAAGAAAAGAAAAAAGAAATTAAAGAATGGAATCCTCAGCAAAGGTTACTAGGACTTTAAGTAGATTTCAACTGAGAGACCCATCGCTGTTTACACGGCAGAGCAACAGACTTGTATAGATTTGATTGCTGCACCTGATAGAGGCCCTGCTTGCACAAAACAGGCCGCCTTGATGAGCAGCTGGCAAACTTGGAGCACATATAAGACAATCAGAGGAAGTCTCCATATAAACTTCTCCATGCAAGGAAAGGTGGTTTTTCCATTTGCCTTTTTCTGAGCAATTTAACTTCCTAATTACATGATACAAATTGTTTCAGAGACTATGTAAACCATATGTTTGTTAAATGATAGAGACAAACATGGGGAAGTCTGATTAGCATCAACTTCCCTCAGGAAAGGGGTTTCTTTCCCAACGCAGCTTAGCCTGTGTTACACTCATTGGACATGGGTGAGTAAGCGGAGGAGGGAAATAGGTTTGTAAATAGCTGCATCTGGCTATGGATTCTCCCCTCTTCCTTCTGCTTGGGATGTATCTTAACACAGATTTTTCCTTTTGTATTAGCATGAGAGATAGGTGCTGACCGACATTAGGAGAGTGAATTTCATCCAGTAGTTAGCAGATTGAGAGGAGAAAGTATGATTGTTTTGAACCTTTAGGAGATTGTGTGAGTGTGTATGTGTGAGAGAGCACAGACGTGGTTGCAAGAGACAATGGCTTTTTAGTTTTTCATTCCAGCGGGTTTGAATAATAGAGGGTGAGAATAAATCAATTTACTGTTAAATGAAATCAAGGTTTTTAAAATATAAATGTATTAAGAGTAGTGAAGTTGTAAATAGGACTGGGTAATGAAGAAGTTTACAGGTCTAGGTGAAATAATGATATTGGATGATTGCTACTGAATCAGTTAACAACAACAATAAAGAGCAAATGTGTTTCCTGTGTCCTATTTTGGTTTCAAGAAGTCCAGAGAGTGGGAAATGTTCCCTGTTCCGGCATATTTCGTGACACAGATGTGCAGATGTGTAGAAACGGATACCTTGAGGTGAACTCACATAGCTATAAAGTGGCCACAGTTTATCTTCCAAACTGGACACTGGAGAGGATAACAGGCAGAAAGTGGGCCACATGGTCACCCCAGCTCTTAATGGCACTGTAGTTGTCATTGCTTCAGAGAACAATTAAAAAGCTTAAATTTTTTTTTTAATGTTTATTTTTGAGAGAGAGAGAGAGAGAGGGAGAGAGAGTGCATGAGGAGGAGAGGGGTGGGGTGGGGGAGGGAGACACAGAATCCAAAGCAGGCTCCACGCTCTGAGCTGTCAGCACAGAGGCTGATGCGGGGCTCCAACTCACAAACCGTGAGATCATGACCCGAGCTAAAGTCGGACGTTTAACTGACTGAGCCACCCAGGAGCCCCAAAAGACTCTCTCAATTTTTCTACTTTTTCTGGTGTTAATTGCCCCTAAAGACAAAGATTTTAGAACATCATTGAAACACACTAGTGGATGTTGTTTGTATTGACAGAAACACAGGGGGAAATAGGAGCTCAGAAAATTAAGAGGAAAAGGAAGACTTAGCTAGTTACTCATAATAGTTTCCTTCGCTTTCCTGTGACATCTTGGTCTTGAGTTCTATCAAACTACCTAATAAGTGGAACCACTTTATGCTGACACCTTTTTGGAACCTGAGTCCTCTTGAATCATGGCCTTATGGTATATACATTTCTTTGCCTTTTATTTCTTTGGAAAGATGAAGAATACCTATGCAGTGTCTTTGGTTAGGGCACAACCTGAAGACCCGTATACACAACATTAGGGTGCTTGGATTTGTCTGAGAAAACAGAATTATTTTTAACTGGAAATGGGTGTCTTTGACTAACAGGTCATCTTGTTTAAGTTGTGAGTTGGACCAAAAGAGTTACGAGGAGCTACAGGAGAGGATGACAATGAGGAGGTTCTTGTTCATCTTGTCCTTTCTCTTGTTTTTGATGTGGTTAAGGGTCTGCTTTTGTTCTTTTGCAGCTTGGTTTTGATCCTGGGTCCTCGGCTGTTGAATCCATGTTTAAGACATCTAGACTACCTTCCCTGATCTGCCAAAAATTGACTGCTTTGTTTCTTGTAAACATGATCTTTTAAAAATGTAACCTTCCTTGTTTGTATGTAAAGTATGTTAGTCTGCTTTCTCCTTTTATGAAAATAATGTGAACTTTGATAAACCTTATTTTTATATGAGAAATATTTTATATAACCTGGCTGTGGTGTTCTGCAGGCACTCTCAGAAAAGCTTTGGAAATGATCTTGCCATGTGAACTTTCAGTTAATACAGATTATTACCGTAGCAACAAGTAGACTTGATCAGAAGGCAGTATTTTGCTTTTATAGATAATAACTGTTTGCTGTTTCTTGAAGAGAGAATATCAAACTAAATTTTAGAAAAGATTTCATAAAGTTTTCTAATGACAGTTACAAGGAAATGGTTGACTGGTAGATTCACACCACTGAATGAAAGAAATTCTAAGAAATCTTGAGCAAAATGGCCTATACTGAAACGCCTAGTATAGATGACTGGGCACGAGGAGTTTCATTTTCTCATAGCTCCCCTGAGTTCATGCATTTGCATTTATTATTAAATAAGGTGAATATTCAATATTGTTCCTAGAATATATTAGAATATATTACAGAGTCATCCATTTATTCAACAGTTATTTCTTGAGCTTTCCCATGTTCAGCTGCAAGGACATAGATGCAGAGTAGAGGGAGAGCTGTATCTAACCAGGGTTGGGATTTGCCAAAGAGAGGAGCGTGTATACAAGGGGTGATTATAACTAAATACCTATAAATCCAAGCTGGGTAATCTAATAAGCATGAAGGGTTTAAGGACAGGGGAAAGGTGGTAGAGTCAGTGGGCTAAAGAATCATTGGGGTTGAGGGATGCCCAAGTGGCTCAATTGGTTGAGTGTCTGACTTAGGCTCAGGTCATGATCTCGTGGTTCATGAGTTTGAGCCCCGTGTTAGGCTTTGTGCTGACAGCTCAGAGCCTGGAGCCTGCTTTGGTTTCTGTGTCTCCCTCTCTCTCTGCCCCTCCCCCTCTTGCTCTCTGAATCTCTCTCTCTCTCAAAAATAAACATTAAATTTTTTTTAAAAAAAAAAGAATTATTGGGGTTTAGGATTAGAAGAAGAGGGGAGTAGGAGAGACAAGTGGTTGGAGAGGGTGTTTGACATTGGAATTACAGAGAGGTTGCAGTTGATGGCAATGACAAGGTCTAGGGTATGACGATGGTGGGGTAGCTGGAGGAGGAGAGAAGTTGTAAGATGGTTGGGGAAGGGGAAGGCAAGGAACTGACAAGCCAGGGTAATGGAAGAAGGCTCCCCTGTGTGGAAATTCAAGAAAGTAGTGTTGTAGAGAGACTGTGAGCCAACAACTAAACTCATAAGGGTAGATAACTCATAACTCATCCAGGAGTCTTTCCTTGACTTTGATTATGAGATAGAGCTAGACAGCATAAGCTTCAAAGCTAAGGACTTTTGGGAGGGAGAAGTGATCACTGTCTAGCAGCAGCAATGAAAAACCAGCTGATAGAGAACCCAGTGGGGAGGCCATGTTTTCTAGGGAGAGCCATGTTTTGCCTTTCTGTTAAGGCAAAAAGGGAAAGGGAGGTTTCAAGGATTTGAACAGAGCTGAGGATTTATAAGATTTTGCTGGGTTCCCTACATGAGGTCCACTTCCGGAGGACACAGTAGAAGGCTTCGGATTCTGTGTCTCCCTCTCTCTTTGCCTCTTCTTCACTCATGCTCTGTCTCTCAAAAATAAATAAACAAAAAATTAAAATAAAGCATTCTTTCACTGTCCTTCCTTCCTCTCCATCACCTTCTCCCCAAATGTGACTTGAAAATGGACAGTGTCACAGTCTTAACCATTGAATGGTTGACATGTTCTTTCCCCTTTTCCTTCTAGTGAAGAAAGTTACAACGTCAATGATTATTCCTTAAGAGATCAGCTATTGGTGGAATCTTGTGACAATGAAGAGCTTAATTCTTCTCCAGGGAAGAACAGTTCCACAATGCTTTATTCAAGACAGAGCTCTGCCAGCCACCTCTTTACTCTGACAGTCCTTAGCAATCATGCGAGTGAGAAAGTGGAAATGCTGCTAGGGGCTGAGACGCAGTAAGTATGGACAGGGATGGTTTCAGAATTATCTGGTGTCCTTCTTCCCTAATTAATTGCCCCTGGCCTGAGACTCCCTTAAAAAAAGTGAACAGTAGGCTACTGTGTATTTTTTGTTGAGTACCTGTTAATGCCCCATGCGCTGTGTCTAGGTGCTTCATGGAGAATCTCATCTTTTCATTGTTGTCATTCTCTCAGCATCTCGAGAGATGGGGGCTATTATTTTCATCTTTGTTGATCCTGATGTATGCATCGTGCTTTAGGTGGTACGGTTTTATATTTAGGAAGTAGTTTAAAACTCACTTTATTTTAATCATTGATAGAAGATATGACCATGAGCCATGGGTAGTTGGCACCTGGTAGTTTCGGTCTAGGCCATAAGTTTTCCCAGGTAAGGAAGTTGAGGCCATTTTGCAATCACCTGCCTTCAATTAGCAAAAAGCCTGATGATTTCTATCGAAAGAGATACTCAGTTTGGGGACACATTAATGAATCCACTTTCCCATCAGAGTTGATGAAGACTCTAAATAGAGAGTCCTGTGTGTATCTGCTGGTACACCAGTGGCCATGGTGTAGTCCATGGGTGGACGAAGGCAAGGGGCCTTAATTTTCAAGTCTACCTCCATGATTTGGTCCATTTAGAGACAGTTGACCAATTTATCTGTTTGGAAACTGGGACCTCCTCTTGAAACTGTCATCACAGGCAGGGGTTATGTTGGGTGGAACAGCAGAGGAAAAGGGCAAGTTTCCTCACTCTTTATCCTCACAGATCATCCTACACCAACCTTCCACTCAAATCTGCCAAGGGTGCCACATGATGTGATTAAAATGGATCAGCAGCTAGTGAATAATAATCCTGAGACTAGCAAAATCTTTTTTTTTTATATAGTTTATTGTCAAGTTGGTTTTCATATAACACCCAGTGCTCATCCCAACAAGTGCGCTCCCCCATGCCATCACCTCCTTTCCCCTCTCCCTCACCCCCATCAGCCCTCAGTTTGTTCTCAGTATTTAAGAGTCTCTTATAGTTTGCCTCCCTCCCTCTTCTTATCTATTTTTTCTCCTTCTCCTTCCCCATGGTCCTCTGTTAAGTTTCTCCTGTTCCACATATGAGTGAAAACATATGGTATCTGGCCTTCTCTGCCTGACTTATTTCTCTTAGCACAGCACCCTAGAGTTCCATCCACGTTGCTACAAATGGCCATATTTCATTCTTTCCATTGTATAGATAAACCACATCTTTTTTTTTTTTTTTTTTTACAAATAGTTTATTNCTCCATGCCCATCACCCCTCCTCCCCCCACACCCATCAGCCCTTGTTCTCAGCATTTCAAGAGTCTCTCATGGTTTGCCTCTCTCCCTCTCCCCCCCTATTTTCCCCTTCTTCTACTCCATGGTTCTCCATTAAGCTCCTCCTAATCCTCCTATACATGTAAACATATGGCATCTATCCTTCTCTGCCTGACTTATTTCACTCAGCATAACACCCTCAAGGTCCATCCATGTTGCTACACATGGCCAGATTTCATTCTTTCTCATTGCCATGTAGTATTCCATGGTATAGATAAACCACATCTTCTTGATCCATTCATCAGTTGATGGACACTTAGGCTCTTTCCATGTTTTGGCTATTGTTGAGAGTGCTGCTATGAACATTGGGGTACATGTGCTCCTATGCATCAGCACTCCTGTGTCCCTTGAGTAAATTCCTAGCAGTGCTATTGTTGGGTCATAGGGGAGTTCTAATTTCCTGAGGAACCTCCACACTGTTTTCCGGAGGGGCTGCACCAGTTTACATTCCCACCAACAGTGTAGGAGGGTGCCCATTTCTCCACATCCTCGCCAGCATCTAGAGTCTCCTGATTTGTTCATTTTAGCCACTCTGACCGGCATGAGGTTATATCTCAGTGTGGTTTTGATTTGCATTTCCCTGATGAGTGATGGTGAGCAACGTTTCATATGTCCATTGGCCATCATGTGTGTGGATGTCCTCTTTGGAGAAGTGTCTGTTCATGTCTTCTATAGCAAAATCTTAACGAAAGTAAACCCAGAGAGGTATCCCTGCTTCTAAAGAATATATTGACAGTATTCTTGAATCATTAAAGAGAGACATCAGAAAAAGGTTAAAATTATAAAGCACCCATATAAAATGTTTTCAATGGTCATTTCATATATTTTTGGCACTAGAAGTAACTTTTCAAAGCTAAGGAAACCCAAGAGGGACAGGTTGATGTAAAATCCATTTGAGATTTGAAAATTTGTCAAAATAGAGTATTCCAAGTGAACTTGAGAGTTAGCATAGGGAGTAAGAAAAGGAGCCCTATCCTATGTGTTTGTTTATGAAACAAAGAGATGCCTTTTCCTAAGGCCCCGGAGCCCTTCCATGAAATTGCTGAAGAACGCTGTGGTGTTCCAGGCATGCTCCTCGGGGCGGGGGTGGGGGGGGTGGGGAGGGCGTACTATTGCTGGTCTATGCAGGTGACCAGCATGAACATACCCAAGACCAGGGCTCAGGAAGGCATTTCTTCAATTTTGAAAGCATTAAACCTCTTGGCCAGTGAAGACAGAGTTAGCCTTCCACTGTGGAAGCCTCTCTTAAAAAGCAAATTTAGTAGGTCAGAGCTTTGGATCTTATACGATTTTAAGGGTGAAAAGTTTTTAAAGACTTTGGAGATTAGTACTTTCCATACATTCTAGAGAATCCTTAGAAACAGATTTTCACTAATTAGTTTTAGTTAGTAATGGTGAAAGTGTTGCTGGTTTTGCTTTGTGTTTTCCTTTCCTCTGTGTTTAGAAGGATTTTTTGTTTTGGTTTTTGGTTTTTTTTTTAGGATTGTTTGTTCTATAGTCAGGTCTTGCCAACATATCAGTAGCGCTTTTCCCGACTGTCTCTTTCATAATTTATGTAACCTCCACCACTTGTTTCTGAGATTATTGGAGCAAGTAGGAAGTAAACCGACACGTCCATTTCTTTTTCTGTCAAGGCCAGATCCTTTCCTGGGACATTCGGCAGCATTTGTTTACCCTCTTGCCTTTAGATCTTGCCACGGACTGCGTGGATATTGAGTGCAGAATATTGAGTATAGAATATTGACTCAGAATATTGAGTTATGGGTCTGACTCATTTGTAGAACATTCCATAAGGGGCAGAGAGGCAGATGTCTCCGTGGGTACTTCTCTTCCCCTCCACCACCAACTTAGCTACAGTTGAAAAGTAAATAAACAAACATTTTCAAGCATACAAGGCATAATATAGCATTGGTACTGAAAGAAAATCTGTTACAGCCAGGATATACTTATCTTAAAAAAAACAAACAAACTAACTAACACAAACAACAGAAAGCAATTGACTGTTTAAAAGTCTAGCAAATTGTTATATGCCATGTTGGAAAAAGTATAAGTCAGCCCTGGGCCGAACTGGTTTCGAGCAGTCAGAGTTTTGGTCTACACAGAATCTTTTCTTTGCTGCTAAGATTTGCACAGTGTAGAGGGGAATATACGTTTTTGAAGTTTCTTCTCTTTTATGTGTGATTAAGATGGCCTATTAGCAGACTGGTTGAGAACCAGGTTTTCACTGCCATTCTGGCCTTTTAATATCTGCAGTACTTTAAACGAGTTACTAATGTTCTTTGGCTACTTATTCTTTGGTTTGAAAAAGGAGGTTCATACCTACATATTTACCTTCTCTGAAAAACTGTTGTCAACAGAAATCCTGTGAGGATAGACAGAATGTAAAATCAGGAGAGGCGCAGCTCTTCGACACAACAGCCCAGTCATTGTAATGGTGAAAGTGTAGAACAGATCAATAGCTCTGATTACAGAAAGAATGAAGAGGAGTTCCCCCAAAGGAAATGGGGTAAACAGTGAGCATCTGGGATGTGCCAGATGGAGCCAGCCATAGAACATGAAGAAGGGACCTTGCAGAGGTTCTAGAGAAGGATAAAACTTCTGAGCTGAAGTCAAGTGACCATACATCTTGGTTTCCCCAGGATCAGGATTATGTCTGTTGTTCTGGCTCAACTAAGAACAGCACCCTCGTTGACTCTCAAAGGTGTCTTGCTTAGACAGTAAAATATGTGGTGACCCTAATTACTGGTCTGTACTCAGCCTCTCTCATTTTTTCTCCCACATGTAGAATGAGACAAAGATGATGTGATTTGCCTGAGGTCACACAGGAAGTGAGTTGTTGCCAAAGCTGGGACTAGACCCTGACCCCCCTGAATCGAGTGTTCTTTCTGGTAACAGCTTTGAATCTTCCTACTGAGATGCCAGCAGTCAGTAGACCAATCCACCCCTACCTTGCCATTTGGCCCTGGTGTACATCTGGAAGGGAAACTCCAGGAAGCCACTTGCTATTCAATGTGAGAAATTATTAAAACGTGAATTGTATTCTTAGGTCCATAGACTTTAAAAAAAGAAAAGCATTTGCAGAAACTCAGATGGTAAATTAAGGGCATCATATTGTTTGAAATATTTTATAATATTTATAATATCTGGGCAAAGGAAACCGCAAGTGCAAACCTTCTAAGGGAAGCAAGTTTGATGTTGTCAAACTTGGCTTGAACATCGTGAAAATGGCTAAATCAGAATAAACCAAGGAGAGAGTGGGGGTTAAGAGGCCAGTGGAGGTCAGATCATTTCAGAGCAGAGCTATTCCAATGTGGTCCATGGCCATCAGTCCTCAAACCATAATGCCTGGGCATGAGGGGATGGAGTTAAGAACTTAAAGCATTTTGACATTTCTGCAGCATCAAAGCATGTGATTATTTTAAGAGTAATTCATTTTTGTTGTATTTCTAAGAACACTTGGTCCACAATGGATGGATAGGGTAGGGGGTTGAGGAGGGGGTTGAGGACTGGTTCTTTACCACACATATTTTGAGAAGCAAACATTTAGAACCGTGTAAGTCATGGCGGGGAGTTCCCCGGAAGACTGGAATGGAGGCAGAAGAGAATAGGGTCCTTCCTGGTTGCAGTAGTCAAGGGGGATCCTGGCAGTG